AAGATTTTACACATACATTACAGTGTTGTGGGGTCATACGTAGCGCATCATGAACCCAAGATCATGGCTGAGGCCGTCCTCATGGGTACAGAACTTGGCTATCAGTTTCTGCTCGGCAATTCTGCACTGCTGTGTATCTTGAAGTCTGCCTTGGAGGACGCTTACCCAAAGATCGGAGGCTGAATGCCCTTGACCGCTGAAGTTTTCCCCAACTGGGAGGGAACATTCCTGCCTGCCGATTGTTGCGTGGTATCCGTTGATCCATTGTTATAGCATCTGCATGGTCTCACCAATGTACCATGCCTCGGGGCATCCTTGCCTGCAGCGTATGAGATAGACAACATTGACTGAGTCACATGTGTATCTGCCGTGCATGTGGTGGGTGGTGTTCCCACATGTGATGGTAGTGTCCATGTCGATGATCTAACATGTCTTGCAGAGGGTACCATGGCAGGGTTGTATGGTGTTGTGGTCGACGTTGTCCTGAAGGCTGGGTAGTTTGCTGCAAACAATAGTCTGTTTAAGGTCTGGCGGTTGTTTGAAGGTGAGAAGTGGAGGCATAGGGATGATCTTGGTGACTTGCTCATCATCATCGAGGACATGTTGAAGGCTGCAAAGAACATGGTATAGTCTCTCCGCTCCAGGGAAGTACCGGACAACAAAGGGTACTCTATCAGTCGTATACTGCGTCTGTCTTCTGAGGACAAAGTCAAAAGTCACATGACACCAGGCTACAGTCCAACAGGTTTATTTGTAATCACAAGCTTTTGCATCTGATGAACGAGCTGTGCTTGAGCACCCCAGTTCAACACTGGCACCTTCATGTCTTCTGAGGAGGTCATTGTGGTTTTTCGCTGTGGCACATCGGAACTGGCGATTGATGAGTTGAGCATCGTATCCCAATCTTTAGGTGTCCGTCACATTCCTCCTTATCTGAGCAGGTCCTGTTTATGCACAGGGCTTGTCCGTGGGGGTTGGCTTCTTTACTATGTTTCGGGTGGAAGCTAGAGAAGTGCAGCATCTTGAGATTATCTGTGGGTAAGCGGTAGAGTGAGGTACTGAGGTGTCCATCCTTGATGGAGACGGCCATTACAATAGATGCTGATTCAGATGTAGAGAACTGTCTAGGAATCATAGAATCCCTACATTGTGGGAGCAGGCCATTCGGCCCACTAAGTCCACATCGAGCCTCCAAAGAGCATCCCACCTAGACCCATTTCCCAACCATACACCTGTACCCTGCATTTCCTACGGCTAACCCACCTAGCCTACACATCCCTGGACTCTACGGGTAATTTAGCATGGCCAACCCACCCTAACGTGCACATCTTTAGACTGTATGAGGCAACCGGAAAACCCTGTGGAAACCCACGCAGATGGGGGAGAATGTGCAAACTCCACACAGACAGCCGCTGGAATTAAACCCGGGTCCCTGAGGTAGCAGTGCTAACCAGTGAGCCACCTGAACTCCCCCATTGGCTCACCAGAGATTCTGCCTCAGAAATCACTCAATCCAGGTGGGATATGAATTGTTATTCCCAATTATTTTCATACTGCAATCAATATCTCTGCCCGTCTGTCTCACTCTTTACTATTCACAATTCTTATTCCATTATCAATTAAAAATGCAACACTCCCTGGAACTTTTGACCAGCACATTGTCACAAACATTTACAACAGTTGTTCCTATAGTCTGCTCATAAACTTCCAAGGCCTGTGATGCTTACACTGGGCCCCTGTTCACATTCACCATGGGGATGACACATATGATATGTGGCTCTGCCTCACTCACTCTCAACAATTTCTTTAAAGACAGTAATACGTTCCTTGTAACCATTGTCACTTGCCCATCTCAATCTCGCACAATACCTCTTCAATTCTGGCTTTTTCTTCTCTTTTGCAGAAGTGGGAATCCTTGCTGAATTCCCCCTAATTACATAGTGAAGTGAGATAATAATTTAGCGGAAATTGAATGATGGAGAATGGAACTTCCCTGGTTTGCACAGTTCAGCAATACACTGGGTAAACTCTTACCTACCAGTAGAAATCTCCTTTTAACCAACACAATGAATTTCTAACTTTTACCTGTAAAATAATCTGTGTTAGCACATTACTAAGGGAGTGCTGCACTATACTATCAAGGATGTCATCAGATGAGATGTTAACCTAAGGCAGCACCTGCCTTTTCAGGTCAGGGTAAAAACTCCAGTTACACTATATCGAAGAGGAACAGTAGAGTTCTTCTTTGGATCCTGACAAGTATTTATCCCTCAATCAGCAGCCCTGAAGCAAATTACCCAATCATTATCACACTAATGTTTGTAGAATCTTACTGCATGCAAATTGCTTGCCAAGTACAACAGTGACAACACTTCAAAAGTATTTCATTGGCTAAAAGCATAGGAACATAAGAATCAGGAACAGCAGTGGGCAATTCAGCTCTTTAGGCCAGCTCTACCATTTAACACAATCATGGCTGATCTCATCACAGGCTCAATTCCATGTTACTGCTTGATCCCCATAATCCCTTTAACCCCATTACTAATTAAAAATCTACTTATCTTTGCCTTAAATTTATTCGATGTCCCTGCATCCCACCACACTCTGGGATACTGAATTCCACAGATTCACAAGCTTTTGAGAGAAGTAATTTCTCCTCATCCCAGATTTAAATTTGTTACTCCTTATCCTCAAACTATGACCTCTACTTCTAGATTGCCCCACAAGGGGGAAAATCCACTTTGTCAACATTGTCGATCCTCTTTAGCATCTTATACGTCTTGATTAGATCTCCTCTAGTGAGTTATGCCTAAACTGCTCAATCTCTCTTTATAAGACAGGCCTTTCATCTCTGAAATTAATGGACAGAATCTAAACAAGGCCTCACACCTAAAATGTATTGTATGACCTGAAATGACACCTCTGGTATATTGATATAAACATCAGTTACCTTGGGGCAGTGACTTGAAAGAAATTCTGGGATTTATATATTAATCAATCGAAACCTGCAGTTCCTTCCTAACTGATTGAAGATTTAACAGACATCTTAGATTTGTTCAATGCAATTGCATCAGTTCTATGACCCTTTGATCTTTTCCTTCGAAAATCTGTGTCTGATGCCACCTCTCTCACTATCACCAGAGGAGCAAGAATCTGAAAGCTTGTGCTTTCGGATAAACCTGTTGGACTATAACCTGGTGTCGTGTGATTTTTGATCTTGTGCACCCCAATCCAACACTGGCACCTCCACATCATCGAAATTAATGTAGTGAACCTTCTCTGAATTGCCTCCAACGTAACTGGGGCAAAAACTGTACACAGATGCAACCTTGTACAATTGCAGCAATTCCCTACTTTTATACTCTATTCCTTTAGCAATAATTGCCAAAATTCCATTTGCCTTCCTAATTACCTGCATACTAGCTTCCTGCAATTCATAGCACATGTCCAATAGTATTGAAAAGCACTGTATGAATGCAAGCCTTTCTTACATGGAAGAAATTCTGACATTACAAACTGTTAAGTAACAAGTTACATCCTTATCACATACTCATTTCATCCTTACTTCCTGAACTTTTCTTTTTGTTTTGACCTTAACTATTCCAACACATAAATTTCATCAATACATAACATATTCCAAGGCCTCTGTCAATGCTTCTCCATGTTCCAGACCGTAGAGACTACTGAGAGATTTAATTGTCATTTCTCTCAATAAGAGAGCACATCACCGCTGTTTGACTTTTCCAATCATTTAATCAGTCAATATCCAGAAATTCATATAGGTCAAGTCGTAACAACTAACCAAAGAGCTACCATCCATCAAGTATCTTTTAATATACACAAATACAATTTGATTTCTTGGTGCAATTCTTTGAGGTTAGTAGCAAATTAACTGGATCAGGTGCCTGGAAAGTTAAACTTATAAGAGCAAAGAAAATGGGCCTACCTTCTTTGTTAGTGCTATTTGTTTTGGAAAATATGTTACATTGAGGTTGGTTGGCTCGCCGAGCTGGTTTGTTGTTCCGCAGATGTTTTGTTACCCTGCTGGGTAACATCATCAGTGCAGCCTCCGATGAAGCATCGGTGTGTTTTCCCACCTGGTTTTTAAACTCTGGAGTCCGTTGAGCTGGATTGCCTCACTTCCGGTTTTCCTTCGTAGTGGAGTGTATATGGGGTCATGTTCTATGTGTTTATTAATGGCTTTCTTCGTGGAGTGCCAGGCTTCTAGGAATAGATGCCTAAACAAACAATATCAGGAAGATACTACACGCACCGACACACTCATCACATTACCCTACATCAGGAACACATCGGAACTAACCACAAGACTCCTACGACCACTGGGCATCAGAGTGGCACACAAGCCCACATCAACCCTATGACAACTGCTCACCCGAACTAAAGACCCACTCCCCGCCATGGACAGGACCAACGTAATCTGTAAGATCCCCTGCAGAGACTGTGAGAAACACTACATCGAACAAACAGGAAGGAAACTAACAACAAGGGTTCACGAACACCAACTGGCTACAAAAAGATACAACCAATACTCACTCATCTCAATCCACATGGACAAGGAGAACCACCAATTCGACTGGGACAACACCAAAATCCTGGGACAAGCTAAGCAGAGACAGGCACGGGAATTCCTAGAAGCCTGGCACTCCACCAAGAAAGCCATTAATAAACACATAGAACTCGACCCCACATACACTCCACTACGAAGGAAAACCGGAAGTGAGGCAATCCAGCTCAACGGACTTCAGGGTTTAAAAACCAGGCAGGAAAACACACCGACACTTCATCGGAGGCCGCACTGATGATGTTACCCAGCATGGTAATGAAACGTCTGCGGAACAACAAACCAGCTCAGCGAGCCAACCAACCTCAACACCCACAACCCGAGCTACAAATCTACTCCAAAACCTTAGAAATATGTTACATTAACAGATCCGAACCTGTGAAACGGTGAAGTAACAATAACATAATACTAAACTCACGTTTTCTATAACAAAAGTCCATTCTTTGTCTTCAAATTCCTCAGCATGTGGATCCTGAAAACAGAATATAAAATTATTTTACAGTTACTATAATTCCAGTTTTAAAAATATCCATACATAATGTAAACAGCTTGTGATTACATACAGAAAGACAACAGAGAAAAAAATGGCTGTTTACTACTTTGTACAATGGGTGAGGATGAATCAGAACTGCAAAATGCCTTCAGTAGATTTCTACATGCAGGAGTGGAAAATGGACAAAGGCAATGTAGGAAAAAAAATACGTGTAATTTATTTCTAAGTAGGAATGAATCTAATAAAACAAATGTTTACGGTCAATAGCTTATCAATTAATCTGCAGTGATCATCTTGCATGCATCAACTAATGGTGTGCTTTGGTCAGTTCCCAAAACCTCCCATGGCAATGGCAATGGACAAGAGAGCATACAGCGTTCTTATGGAACAGCCAGAGGCATCCATTACTGTAAAGAGAAAAGCCCAAGGCTTCTTCACATTACAGCTTTGCAGAATAATTCCCATGTCATGGTGAGAGAATCAAGTAAGCACTTGTTCACTGTTAATGACAATGAAGTGCATTTGATAACTTTGAAAAGAATTTTTATTAGTACTTTGTTTTTATTATGCAGTGTATTATTTTTAAAAATAATAAAGTACAAGACTAATTAAACCCTTCAAAATAATTGTGTTTTTTTCATATATGCACGATTCAAACTGCTCAGTTAAATAGCAAATTATTCATTCACTCCAAACAATTCCCATGTCTTATTTCTATTTAATAATATTGGACCACAAAAATGTAACAAAATATAGTTTTCTTGCACTTTTATCATTTCATTACAATGAAGTATGGAAACCAGATTTAAAAAATTGCAAGTTAGGACTGCCTATGAGCAATAGCCAGCATATGTTGCACTAACCAATACACTGAAATTGCTTTCTGCAAGTTATGTTTTTCTGCAATAGCACAATTACAAATGACGAGGCTTTTCCTACAGGAAACTGAAAGCTGTAATTATGCACATCAGTTCATACCGGAGATGTGTTACATCCACACAGCGCATAGCCACTGTTATTTATGTCTAATTATATTACAGGTTGAGGTTGCTAGGCAGATTATTCAGTTTAACATTTTTGTTTCATTAGTAGCCGATAGCATTATAAATACACCAAAATGGCAGGCTATGATGCAGATGATTTGAAGCTTTATTTTATTATATATAGAACAGCATTAGTTGTAAGCATGAGCTCATGAGATGTTTATTTCAGCTGCAGTTTTAACATTTTATCGATTTGACCCATATTTTGCTAAGCCTCAGGTCCAAGCTTGTTTTGTTTTAAAGCCCACTCTAACAAATGAGATTTTCTAATGTGAAAGGCTGTTACAGCAGAAACAGGAGTTTAGAAGTTGCTATACCTTGAAAAGTGTCACAGTGATTTCAATGTTTTCAGGAACAGGCCAAACCACCACTCCTCGATATGGATTTTTAATTCCTGGTTGCCAGCTATGAGCCTTCAAAAGGAACCAGAAAGCAACAACATTCAATAATTTATACATTTCGTTATATGTTATCGAATACAAAACAATATCATAAATGTAGCACAAATTTTCCAGTAAAGCCATAAAGCATTTTTAAACAGTACTATAATCTACAATTTATAGAGACAATCCCAAAGATGTAGCGTTACACATCCAGAAAGGATCAATATGCTGGATCTCTTTTTTTCCTGAGAAAAGGACAGCGGTGACCTATTGGAGGTCTATAAATTGATGAAAGCAATAAAGAATACAACCCAAGATCATGCCTTCAAACCAACAATAATCTGACATCTCCCAGCATGCTAGACCCTCTGATCTACCATCACCTATTCAAGCTTTCAGTTTAATGGTCTGCTATCCATTGCAGAGACACACATCTCCTCAATCACTCTGCTCTCCATGAGATCTGTAGCTGCGCAAGCACTTCAGTAAATTAGTTAGATATCATCCAACCCCTTGAGTCCATGCTAGCGCTCTCTCATCCTTTAATCCATCTTCAGACTTTACGGTTCTAACGTAATTAACGAAAAATCCTTTTCCAGAAGACTGTTTTATTTTCATTCTAAAACTCATTATTCAGCTGCTCAATAAATTCAAACCGATTCCCAATACTTCAACCTGAAAAGATTTTATGTATACCTTGGAAGATTTCCGTCTGCTTCTTCTTGTCCAAACCACTACAAGTTTGTCAGGTTGCCTAATAAAATGAATGACAAAGAAAATTAGCTCATTAATTACTTCATAGAATGCAATATTTTTTAGCAAATTATCATTTGCTAACGAGGTTCACAAGTTTAACAAATATTGAACCGTTTTAAGTATTGAGTAGCATATTGTTTGAAGAAAACTAAAGAATATAAACTATCAATTTATTTACATAGTGTTTTCAATGTAGAAAAATATCCCAAGCTGCTACACAAAGGTGTAATGAGAAAAAACAGACCAGTGATGTACAAGTGGACAGTCAGTGGAGTTTGTAAGGAACGGGCAGGGTTGGGATGCGGGCGTGTGTTGTTAAAACTGGGGATTACAGAGACAGGGAGAAAAAGGCTATGAAAGGGCTAAATAATTTTAAACTGGAATTATCTGGAGAAGAGAAGCCAATGAATGTCAGCAAGGACAGGAGTAATGGATGAACAGGTCCTGGTGAAAGATGGGATATAGATAGCATGAAATATATAAATTGAGGATTACATAGTAAAGGATGTAGTTTGAACAGGGGAGACTGGAATGACTGAGACTGGAAATGCCAACGTTGTGTAAAATGGTTCAAGGTGAGGATGGACCAAGTGGTGTAACAGACTAGTTAACACACATGTTAAAGTGTGCATTCACCTTTCCTACTCTGTTACAGCACAAAAGGAGGTCATCTAGCAAATAATGTCTGCACCAGATCTTCAACATGCAGTTTATTTTTTAGTTGTTCACGAGATGCAAGCCAGCATTTATTGCCCTTTCCTAATTGCCCAAAGTCAACCAGATTGTTGTGTCTCTGGAGTCAAACGTAGGCCTGACACAGAAGAGATGGCAGATTTCGATCCTAAAGAACATTAGTGAACCACACTGGTTTTTACAACATTGGAAGTAGTGACATGGTCTCCATTAGCCAAACATTTTACTCCAGATATGTACTGAATTCAAATTTCAACATGTGCCATGGTGTGATTTGAACCCATATCCCTAAAACATTAACCTGCCATTCTGGATTACTAGTCCAGTGACATTATCACAGTGCTACCGTCTCCCTCATTATGATTTAGTGCTATTCTTTTCATTTTCCCCGTATCCTCACATATTGGATAATTATTTGAATTATTCGAAAGCCTCTCGAATGCCTCAATTGAACCTGCGTCCACACATTTCCGGACAGTGTATTCCAGTCTCTGAATATTCCAGATTTTTTTTTTCCTCAAATTACATTTGCAAATCACTTCAAACCCATGTCCTCTCATTCCTGATCCTTTGGCAAGTGTAAACAATCTCTCCCAATCTATTTTCCAGACTTCTGATGATTTTGAAAATTATCGGATCTCTTGTTTGTCTTATTCTCACCAAGGAGAATAGTCCCAAACTCTCCAATCTATCCTCGTAACTGAAGGTTCTCATCCCAGAACCATCCTTGTAAATCTCTTCTGTATTCCCTCCAATGCGTTCACACCATTCCTACAACGCTGCAACCAGAACTGCAGGTAATACTCCAGCTCAGATGTGATTTGATGTGAAGATGACAGCCATACCACAAGAGCAAATTAGTGATAGCATAAAGGTTCTCCAAGAGACTAGGATATCATAAATAGAGGTGAGGGTGAAAGTGAGCAGATCAAAAACTTTGAAATAACATAGTGAATGGAAAGACAATTGGTGGACATTTAACCCACAACTGAATGATTTAAAAAGAAGGGAAAGGGCAGGGATGTTCCATCAAGCATTACCCCTGCTTGGCCTCTGTAATCTTTGAAACAGTTGACAAGGTCATACCAAGTATTAAAGCTTTTCTCTAAGGTACACACATTGCCCCAATTTATTTGACCCTCAGACCCAAGCCGATAGAAAGCATGAACCTGGTTTCTGTACTAAAGAATTATTAGTTACAGTAATTATACTACAGTTACAAATAAACAGATATAAACCATTGGCATATAATGCTATTAACTAAAGCACTAATCTTTTTATAAATAAACACTCATTCTCTCTTTCTCTATCTCTCTCTCACACACACACACAGGAAAAATAGATTATTGGCAGAGGTACAGGAAAACTGGAAGTCAGCTCAGTGGTACTTGTTTCCTGAGTCCAATATTGGCTAGCCAGGCTCTTGGTGTTTTTTTTTCATTCCTTCACAGGATGAGGGCATCACTAGTTAGCCCAGTTTATTGCCCATCCCTAACTGCCAGAGGGCAGTTAAGAGTTGACCACATTGCTGTGGATCTGGAGTCACACATAGGCCAGACCAGGTGAGGAAGGTAGATTCCTTGCCTAAAGGGCATTAAGTGAACCAGATGGGTTTTTCTGACAATCGACAATGGATTCATGGTCATCATTAGACTCTTAATCCCAGCTTTTGCTTTTGAATTCAAATTCCGGCAACTGCCATTGTGGGATTCAAACCTGGGTCCTGAGAACATTGCCTGGATCTCCGAATCACAGTCCAGTGATAATACCACTATGCCTTTGTCTTCATCTGGAAGATTCCACTGGCTTGTAAGTACACAGTGATTGATTCACGTCAAAGATTTCTCTGATTTATCAATTCAAAGTCTGCTGCAAGTAAAGTAACTGGTTTTCTTCAACTTTAAACTGAGTTTTTGACTGCAGAGAACAGGCAGCTTCTGCTGGTGAGAATTGCACTCCCTTGTGTGTCTTTTGCCACATACCTGCATCTCTGTACCTTGTTTCCAGTTCCAACCTGCTCAATTAACTGAGGACCAATCAGCTTCACTTGTAAACAACTCTGACTCCTGATTGTCTGCTTGTTGCAGGAACCCAGCGCCAACAAAGAGAGTTCACAACAGGTATTTAAATTCATTGTTGTGAAATTATGCAGCCATCCTAGTACATCTGTTTTTAAAAACAAGTCTTTCTTCTTGCAGTCCACACTTTTACAAGGCATAAAAATTTTGAGAGTTAAACTTAAAACATATAGCAAATCACCAAGGGTCTTTAAACAACATGTTCCAAAACTGCAGCCTCTACCATCCGGAAGGTCAAGGGCAACACTACCACCTGCAAGTTCACCTCCTAGCCACACACTCTCCTGACATAATCAGCACGGTCGTTGAGTCAAATCTAGGAAATCCCTTCCTAAGAGAGAGCTGGATTTTCCAGTGATCAATTCAAATGACCATGTGACACGATTTCACATTTTATGATTTTTACCGTGACAAATTAAGATAACACTCCAACTACTTAAAAAAACAGAAAACCCACACTACATTATATACATTACACATACAGATATGCAGCCTTAAGTTGAAGTGCATCCCTTTGTAGCATTAACAGGATTTCTTCTCTCTATTTCTCTAAGGTGTAATATATCATTCCTCCACCAAGGAGGTGATGTTGATCTAGTATGAGACATTTGTTAGGCCTCAGATGGAGTCCTGTATACATTCTGGGCACCAGTCTAAAGAAAGAATGCAGAAGAGTTAATGAGAAACAAAAATAGAGACTGCTGGAAAAGCTCAACAGGTCTGGCAGCATCTCTGAAGAGAAATCAAACTTAACGTTTCGGGTCCAGCAACCCCTCCATACCAGACCAAAATGTTAACTCTGATTTCTCTTCACAGATGCTGCCAGACGTGTTGAGCTTTTCCAGCAATCTCTATTTTTAATTTACAGCATCTGCAGTTCTTTCATGATTTTTTTGAAGAGTTAATGAGAATGGTTTCAAGGATGAGATACTTCAATTTGGGACTGTTTTTCTTGAAGAAGAGGAGGAAAGGAAATAGAGGTTTTCAAAATCATTAGAGATCTGAACAGAGTACATAGAGAGTAATTGATTCTGCTTATGTAGGGATTGAGAACCAAACAGCACAGACTCGAAATGATT